TTTTTTTTTTTAAACGGGGCCACAAAGTGGTTTACAGAACATTTGAAAAAAAATTAAGACTTTCCAAAATATATTTTGTAGGGTTTTCACAGCAAAAGTGTTAAGGACATTATTGCAATAAAATGTTTAATGCAATATTTTTAACGTTGTGAATTTATATTCTTATAAATAATGAGTAGATTAGTAAATATTCATAAGTATTTTATTCTGTTGCGAGCCCTAGTTTTAAACAGTAACTAAATCTGATTATTATTACGATAAGTTTTTCTCTTGTTATTTCAAACCCATTTGATCTTTTTTTGAAGTAGTTACTGGCTCTTTTTCTTACAATACACGTGTTTTGGCAACAGGAGCCCTAAAAATGGTATTAAAAAAAACATAAAAGTGTACAAGTTTTCCAGTCAAATATCTAAACATCCTTACAACAAAATAAATTTACCTTAATACAATGCATATTGTATTAAAACTTTTTTTCAGGGAATGTATTTTGAATAAAACTGTATTTTGTCTTGTTTATTTTTTTACCTGATTTTTTTCCATTTAAATTAGGCTTACACTTAAAACTAGTTAACCAGTCTGCCAGTGCAATGAGACAAAATGCACTTGCATTCAAAACATTCTCTAAACAGAAGACAGATTGCAGAATGCAGTTTTTCCTCATTTATCAGATAGAACTATCTTTTTTATTGTTTAAGAAAGTTTGGGTTACTGCAAAACATGATGAAGCATGGTGTGTTATATTATAAGCATTCTGAAGCCATACAAGAGCTTGGAAGAGCGGCGAAATTGAAATCAATCTCCATAGCTCATTGAAATACAGCATGCCAAGATGCATCATGTCAGGTTTGACGTCTATCACTTCAGAAGGCTCTCAAAATGGAGCATGAGTCATAAGCGTGGATGACTTAAATTTCTCCTTTTTTCTCTAAAATTAAGTCATTTGGGTTTGGAATATCAAGAGGGTGATTCATTTGTTTGTGAATTATTCCTACAGAGATGTATCATAAATGAAAACAAAGGTATTCCAGTTCATGCTGTACCTGATCAGGGTCAGTAAAACTAAAGCATTCAGAGCTACTTCTAAACTGTGTCGGTTTGTCTCACTCACCGCTCTTCTTCAGAGAATAGCACTGCTTCAGGTCCTGACATGTGCGGGCAGGATATTGGCGAGTGCCATCAGGACTGCGCATGCTGTCCAGCTGACTTCCCAAGATCTTCAGAGACAAGTGAACCTCACTGTCGACCCGAACTGTATCAGATCCGTTATTAGGCCTTGCCTCATCCTCGTTGAACTCTGGCGGGGGAGGTGGAGGTTCCTCTGGCTCGTATTCGACATCAAGGTCGAAAGATGTTCCAAAAAGGTCATCCACAGCGGCTGTAGGGGGGCCAGGAGAACCTGGGGGTCCAGGTGGGCCTGGTTCTCCAGGTGGTCCCTACAAACAGACGGGTGAATACTGTTTATGCAGAAATTTAGTGTTGAAACATTATAATCATGATTATAAGTCATGAAGTACAAAGTGTATCTGATTATGAGTAATTAAAGAAGGAAAATTGTCAAAAGAGAAATGAAAACATGTTATAAATTGTAGATTTTTTGTTGCATCCGAGACAGTGATTGAATGCACAGCCCAGCTGAAAAACAACTTAAGTTATTTGCGTTAGTTTTCAGCAAGTTTAGCTGGTTTCTCAGCATGGACAAACAACTGTTCAGCTGGTCACATGTGAAAAATGCCCAAAACCTCTCTAGACCAGCAAACGTCATTAGACTGGTTTAAGATGTTTCAGCAAGAAGATCCAATCTCATAACATACACAAAATGCATCGTAGACATAATCTCATGCCTGACCTCAGGTCCAATATCACCAGTGGCACCTCGAGATCCAGGAGCCCCCACTGCTCCAAGTGGACCCATATCTCCTTCTTTTCCTGCTGGACCAACAGGGCCAGGGGGTCCCCTCGCAGGCGGCTATGGTAAGGGGCACAACATTTCCCGACCAGGCGCCGAGTGATGCCAATCACAACACACACTGGCCCAGCTAACCAATCACAACACACACTGGCCCAGCTAACCAATCACAGCACATTTCGTGTTTCAGCAGGAGGGCCTTTATTTGATACAGGAACTTTTCAAGCCGTTCATGCCAGACTGAGGAGAGAGGTGTTGTAAGAATGTAAAATATGTGAAAAATAATGTGTTTTTCGAACATCCTAGTTTGAGAGCCTGTTCTAGTGCACCCCCAAAACTAAATCAAGACTTTGTAAAAGAGCATAATAGGACCCCTTTAAAAATATATTTATTAAACACCAATCTGATGTGAAGTATCTGCAATGGATACGGGAAATTAACCTGATCTCCTCTCTGTCCTGGACCTCCAGGTGTTCCGACAGGTCCTGGGGTTCCTGATGCTCCCTGACCACCTGCAAGACCCTCTTGTCCTGAGTCTCCTCTGTCACCCTGAAAGCAAGTTAACACAACATTTGAACTTGGTCCTATTTGGTTAAACAGTTTCTAATAAGACTGAATGGGTTCGTACTCTGGGTCCAATGATGCCATCAGCTCCTTGAATTCCATCAGCTCCAGCCAAACCCTAATTTAAGAACGAATTAATTAAGATAATGTTTTGCATATGGGTAATCAATCATCTTGATTGTGTGTTTTTCACACTAACATATCATACCTCTGGGCCAGCATCTCCTCTGGGTCCAGCTGCTCCTGGCAAACCAACTGGTCCAGCACCACCTTTGGTTCCTTGAGGACCTGGGGTGCCAGCTTTTCCTGGTTGACCCTTAAAAATCCAAAGAGATGGGATGAGGAGTCAAAGAAGTTAACTTTTGGCATCTGAGAGACATCATCTTTGACTAATTAACCAACCAACTAACCAGAGGCTGAGAAATGTAATTCTAAAAAGACAAATTTCGAAATATTTGTTTGTATGACAAGAAGGTAGAAGTGGTGACCTACCGCAGGTCCAGGAAGGCCAGCCATACCACGCTCTCCTCTCATTCCAGGAAGACCCACAAGTCCCCTCTGTCCTGGAGTTCCAGCAGGTCCTGGTGGCCCATCTGGGCCCTATGTTAAGTTAAAGAAAAATATGAGTTTTAGATTTAAAATGATTTAATTTTAATTCTGTAGGATATACATTTTTTAAATATATGAATGACAATCCAAAAACCATCCTGCAAAAAAAAATTTGAGTAATAAGGTATAACATACTGGCAATCCGTCCTCTCCTGGTTCACCTTTGTCTCCAGGGCTACCAGCAGGTCCAGGGTTTCCATGCTCTCCCTGGCGGCCAGGACCTCCAGGTTCTCCCAGAAGCCCAGGTGGGCCCTCTTTACCTGGGGCTCCGATGGGACCAGGCTCACCAACTGGACCCTGAAAATAATATCAGTGTAAGAGTCCATATACGTTTTATTGGTCAAAATTAATCAAATACATTGCCAATACGATTTAAAGGACTAGCTGTTAAGCACTGCTTTGTGTGTTAAATCTGTATTATGGAATCACTCACAGCAGAGCCTGCTGGGCCGACACCTCCTGGGGATCCTGGGAAACCACTGGGACCCTTTTAGAAAAAAAAGAAGAAACCAAAGAGGATTCCGCAAAAGTGAGGAAGAAAAGAAGTAAGAGGATTCAATAAGCAGCATTTATGGGTGTGTCCAAGTTGATAAAGAATGATTTTGATACTTTGATTTTTGTAACTTACAGCTGCTCCTTGAGTTCCTCTGCCACCTTTGAGGCCTGTAATTCCAACCACTCCCTAAAAAAAACACTATGTTTATAATTTTTTTCCCTACAGGACCAATATAGTCTATACATATACCCACTATGATTCAAAAGTTGGGTTATATATATCATGGTTTATATATATATATATATATATATAACCCAACTTTTGATAAGAATAAGAAATCAATAAGAATATATACTATATATATATATATATATTTTTTTTTTTTTTTTTTTTTTTTTTTTTTTTACGATTCTTTGATGTATACAGATAAGAAAACAATATTTATTTGAAATATAATTTTTGTACCAGTCTTTACTGTCACATTTGATCAAATATTATGTCTTTGATTATATAACAATTCTTTTGCTCACCTGTGGTCCAGGTTTTCCTGCCATTCCCTGAGGCCCTGAAGACCCAGCCTCTCCCTTTGCACCTTCCTGTCCGGTTTCACCTTTAACTCCGGGCTGACCATCAGGACCCTAGCACAAAAACATGGCAATATTTACAACTCATACCATATTATTAAAAAAAAATATATATATATATATATGTGTGTGTGTGTGTGTGTGTGTTATGGGTGGATGAATGGATGGATGCACTTACGGGAGGTCCAGCAAACCCAACTGGACCAGTAGGACCTGGCTCACCAGGTGAGCCCTAAAACACAATACATCAATAGAATTGTGAACCACATGAGAAAAGAACTTCAACAAACATAAAAGGTCAGGATTTCTCCTGGTAAACTGCTCTACTCACAGCCATTGCTCTAGAGCCTGGAGATCCACCAGGGCCTCGTGGGCCTTGTTCTCCCTGTAATTGAACAATCATTTCTGAGTACATCTAAGTAGCAACAGCTGTAAAATGTACTTTTTAATCAGTTATTTTAAGAAACAAAAGAAACATCAAAGTCTTAGTATTTTGGGGAAAAAAACACTATGAGGCAGAACAGGAGGGATAAATTTACCACTTAGCTAAATCGATTAAAAAAAAAGTAATAAACAAAAAACGAATCAAACCTTCTCCCCGGGTGGGCCAGCTGGTCCAACAGGTCCAACAGGACCAGGTAATCCCTACAGACATCAATGACATTTTATTTAGTGTCTTTATAACCCCTGCTGTATTAAGAAATGGATAATAAATTTGAATGTGGATATTTTTTTATTCAGAATTATTGACTGTTAGGTTCAATTTTATCCAGTTTATGGCTCTGTCTCACTCACTTGAGCCCCATCGTTGCCAGCAGCCCCTTCTGCCCCTCTGTTGCCCATTGCACCCTGAGAAAACAGATTAAACAGCATTAAAATCGATAAGAAAAGAAACAGAGAATTCTGCTTGATGTGTTACAGATGTGGTTTCCTTCTCTACTTCACAGTGCCACACAGAAAATGTTTCACGAATAATATTAGAGAATATTAACTTCCTGCCTGAGGATATTAGCGAGACATCCAGTATATGTCAACAGTCATGCCTCACAGAGCTTTACCCACAAAGGCATTTAATATATGCAATATTGTTGCACTGTTTGCAAGGAATCAAACTAAAATCTATACTGTGTTTGTTATGCATGTGCAAATATTTAACATGTGCCAAAGCCTTTGATTAAGCAGACCCATTTTCTCTTATCTCTCAGAGCCACACTCACACTTTCTCCTTTAGGTCCGGCTGGTCCAGTTATTCCTCTCTCTCCTGGCATGCCCTGTAGGCCTAGTGGTCCTGGTTCTCCAACAATTCCAGCTGGACCTGGTTTACCCTGCACAGCCATTAATGTGTATCAAGATTATCATGCTGTTGTTTTACACAAAACTATAATAAAGTTTTTTACCATGGTAAAAGCTTTCAGTTAATGTATTCCTTTTATTTGGTACAGTTATGTAAGGGGTGTTATTCAGTCATCTTTTAGGAGCTAAATGCATGCATAGAGCGATGCAGCTGTTGATGTTGAGTAAAAATCTGGCTCTAACCTTGGGACCGTCAGGTCCAGGGGTTCCTAGACTTCCCTTTTGTCCTGGTAACCCATTAGGACCAGGTTCACCTCTCTCTCCTGGGGTTCCACGTTCACCCTATGGCGGATAAAAACACTGGAGATTGCTTATGTGGACTTCTGAAGTGTCAGTGACACTGAAGTGTAAGTACAATAGGCTCACCCTTGGACCAGTCTGCCCTGCACCACCAGCCTCTCCATGGATACCCTGAGGGTAAAAAATAAATGTCATAAGGTTCTTTAATAATTCCCATTCTCAGGCAGTTTGTATTCTTCCTCACCAGCAGAAATGGCACGCAGTAAAGACTAGAATACAGCGATCAGGTAAAAGAGCACAAAGAAATTATGAACTCACCTCATCACCTGGTTTTCCTGACTCTCCTGGTGGGCCTGGGGGTCCAGGCAAACCCTACAATTTTAGCATAATAAAGATGTAGCTCTTCCAGGAATAAATCATATCAAATTTACTTACAGATATGTAAAATATTTAAGGATTATTTATACTTTTATTATTTTATTTGTGTCCCCGAGGTGGACGTGTATTGTTAGTCAAGTTCATACCAAAAATGATTTCATGCAGAGCAGCAGGTGCTACACACAAGCAGGTGCAGTACAATGTTTGACCAAACAAATAAAAAATAAAATAAATAATTTATTGTTAATGTGGGCAAAAATCCTGGGATTTCACAATGAACTGGTTTTGCTTGTTTTTGTCTTTTTGGACTAGGGAGGACGTTTTGAGGCCTACAACTTGCTGTTAGTACATCAAACACATTTATATGACAATATCAAGGAAACTTTCTCAAAGTATGACCCCTTTAAGAGCATTTAAACATTGACTGTGTGGACAGTGAGGGGCATGTTTAAAATCATCTCTGACTGGAACCATAACTGAATAAAAAGAGAACATACTTGGAAGCCAGTTAGTCCAGGAGGTCCCTGTTCTCCTCTCTTTCCTGCTTCTCCCTGAAAATAAATACAATAAACCCAACCGTATTTTGCAAGCTCCTCCTCTTAATACTGTACCACTCAGAGGTGTTACCTGAGGAAGCTGAGATAGCCGAGAAATCAACCAACCAAAATATACAGAAAATGAAAATAGCCACAAATTTGGCATAAATAATTAATTGGAAGACTCACAGGAGGTCCTGGTGTTCCCGCTGGACCTTCTTCTCCATCTTTTCCGTTAGGTCCCTGCAGGAATCATAACCATCATATCAAATCATAATGATTGACTTGACTTTTAAATCACTACACTATACAATACCAGCACTGACAGACCATCTGAAATACTACAACAGAAGCATTTACGCAAAAAGAGAATGACATTTATAATAGCTTGTTGTGAAAAATTACAGTACGTTTTAAGGTTGCCACGACAATGTTACACCATAATTGCACTCACTCTTTGTCCTGAAGCTCCTGGTGATCCTGTCTCTCCTGCTTTCCCTGGATCACCCTGAATATTCAGAAAAATAATTTCATAATAGGTAAACACAAGATAAAGGTGACTGACTGTCCATAAAATGTCATTATAAAAGTCATCATTATAGACTCTCTCTTTATATTACAGACTCTTTGTAGTTTAACATGTTAACTATAATATTAATGGGTAATTCATCCGTTAAAGGCACTTTTATCTACTGAAACATCTTCAAATAATGTTTCATCTGTATTAAAACATTTATGACATCCTTAAATAAAGATCTGGTAAGTGGCCTTCATCATCCTTCAAAGGACTTTCAATGTAATGTCTAAGAGCGTGAGATTTGACACTGTGTGTGATGGCAATTATATGTGACAGAAATGATCATTTTCACTTTTAGAGAAAAAGCTGAATAACTTTGGACTTACAATACAAACGCATTTAGTTTTCTTGCAACCAATTGTACTGTGCATGTATATATATATATATATATATATATATCATGTCCCGGTTATGTTCTGTTTTGGTTGAGCTTTCCCTGTGAGATTTCCCTGTGTAGTATATATATATATTAATTTCTTATAGTGAATATGAGTTCTTAAAAAAGACTTCATGATTTTAACATTTATAGGGGAAGTTAAAATGTCTGAATTGTTGACAAGCCCAAAATAGTGTAATTCTGGTAAATGTAACATTTCAGCACTGTTAAAATAAATTAGGAAAACAATTAAAGTGATAATAAAAAATGTAAGTTGCCATAATATATCCTTTGCAATTAGACTGTTTTTTTCCCCGTTGTTGTTCTAAGTATTTAAAAGAATATTCATGACAGAAAGTCCCTCTAATAGAAGAATCACCCTGATATACTCTTTGCTCTGAAAGTGTTATGCGATATACAGTATGACACATGTTAATAATATTTAGAATATTATCTTATGGCTGTTTTATAAATACACATATAATAGGGAGTTACACTGAAGCCTTTAGGTCCAGGCAAACCCATGGGTCCTGCTGCACCTCTTGTTCCCGTAGGCCCAGCTGGGCCTGGATTCCCATCATCTCCTGGTGCTCCCTAAGAAAAAAACACCATTCTTATCAGAAAGTGAGATGGCAGAACTCACCAAAGTGTTGTTTTAAATGCATAGTGATTTGGAGCTGTTCAGTCATAACAACAGGCCAATCCAGAAAGCTAATTCCAGAAGGATGCGAGTTTACATGTGTGTAGTTCATTTAATTTTCCCAAAGAGATTCCCAGAGGAACCACTAGTTCAAATAGGACTACAAACTGAGGAGTTTAAAGACCTGTTTTAAGAAGGCATACAATAGGAAGGAATAACAAGATTAAATCAAGCGAAAAGTGCATGTATTACCTGTGGGCCTATCTTTCCCTCTGCCCCTTGCATACCAAGAATGCCAGTTAAGCCCTAAAGAGACATGACACATAATACAGTTTGTGAACGCTTTAAATAATGTGGACTCAATACTATCTGAGCAAAATAAAAGTACCAGCAATAGCATGCACTACTGTTGAAGCAAAGTAACAAAGTCTATGTAATAATCACAGAAAATAATTATGATATACTTTATAACCGCATGGCACTATACATAGGATATGCTGCAAAATGCTTCATAATGTCTAAAACAATAGATAACATACAGAATACAAATATATAGAACATTCATTTTACTAACCCTTGCCCCCGTAATTCCTGTTTCCCCAGGTCGGCCAGGGTCTCCAGTTGCACCTTTAGGCCCCGATGAGCCTGGGACACTACGTTCACCCTGTGCTCCCTGTAAAGAATGACATTGAGAAAACAAATGAATCATTTTGATCTCATTTGTTAACATTAGTTAATGCATTAACTAACATAAATTTCCAATTTTTACAGCATTTTGTTAAAGTTAGTTAATAAAAATGTTCATGTCAGTTCACAGTGCATTAAATAATGTTGACAAGATACAAAATTCAGTTTTAAAATGTAGTAAATGCTGAGATTAACATTAACTAAGATTAATAAATGCTGTAGTATTATTTTAAGTATTATTTTACAGTAGATATGCGGTGGCATTGCTGGCAATTTTAGGTGCCTTTAAAACCTTATTGACCACTATTTAGTATGTTCTAACCTTTTGACCTGGCAAACCATCAGCTCCTGGGAACCCGCGGTTACCTGGAGCTCCCTTGAAAAATATAAAACATTAAATATTATTGTATTGAACAAACATGTAAAGACGTCACAGATAAAACACCCTGCAATAGTCACATTGAATATGAAGACTTGCATGTTAGTCATTCACAATAAAGTAATGGCACTCACTCTTTCTCCAGCTGGGCCCAGGGCTCCAATGGCCCCTGTGTCTCCTCTTGGGCCTCGCTTTCCTTCTTCTCCCATTTGCCCCATTTCTCCTTGAACACCAAGTGGGCCCTACAACAAATGATATACCTTTTATCACTGGATGAATGTTCTGGTGGCATTATTTCTGTCCTGTTTTAAGAAGGTATACAATAGGAAGGAATAACAAGATTAAATCAAGCGAAAAGTGCATGTATTACCTGTGGGCCTATCTTCCCCTCTGCCCCTTGCATACCAAGAATGCCAGTTAAGCCCTAAAGAGACATGACACATAATACAGTTTGTGAACGCTTTAAATAATGTGGACTCAATACCATCTGAGCAAAATAAAAGTACCAGCAATAGCATGCACTACTGTTGAAGCAAAGTAACAAAGTCTATGTAATAATCACAGAAAATAATTATGATATACTTTATAACCGCATGGCACTATACATAGGGTATGCTGCAAAATGCTTCATAATGTCTAAAACAATAGATAACATACAGAATACAAATATATAGAACATTCATTTTACTAACCCTTGCCCCCGTAATTCCTGTTTCCCCAGGTCGGCCAGGGTCTCCAGTTGCACCTTTAGGCCCCGATGAGCCTGGGACACTACGTTCACCCTGTGCTCCCTGTAAAGAATGACATTGAGAAAACAAATGAATCATTTTGATCTCATTTGTTAACATTAGTTAATGCATTAACTAACATAAATTTCCAATTTTTACAGCATTTTGTTAAAGTTAGTTAATAAAAATGTTCATGTCAGTTCACAGTGCATTAAATAATGTTGACAAGATACAAAATTCAGTTTTAAAATGTAGTAAATGCTGAGATTAACATTAACTAAGATTAATAAATGCTGTAGTATTATTTTAAGTATTATTTTACAGTAGATATGCGGTGGCATTGCTGGCAATTTTAGGTGCCTTTAAAACCTTATTGACCACTATTTAGTATGTTCTAACCTTTTGACCTGGCAAACCATCAGCTCCTGGGAACCCGCGGTTACCTGGAGCTCCCTTGAAAAATATAAAACATTAAATATTATTGTATTGAACAAACATGTAAAGACGTCACAGATAAAACACCCTGCAATAGTCACATTGAATATGAAGACTTGCATGTTAGTCATTCACAATAAAGTAATGGCACTCACTCTTTCTCCAGCTGGGCCCAGGGCTCCAATGGCCCCTGTGTCTCCTCTTGGGCCTCGCTTTCCTTCTTCTCCCATTTGCCCCATTTCTCCTTGAACACCAAGTGGGCCCTACAACAAATGATATACCTTTTATCACTGGATGAATGTTCTGGTGGCATTATTTCTGTCAATTATGAGAAAATGAGTTTAAGGCACCTGAATGTTGTCAATACTTACAAGTTGTCCTTTAGCTCCTGGTTCTCCTTTAAAACCAGGGGAGCCTAGGTCACCCTTTGACATACATGAAATATATGAATGAGCGCAGTATATATAATCTATATATCAAGTGCTCCACCTCAAATATACATAAAGAAGAAAAAGTGAGTCCCGCTATGGTTATAATATTACATTTTGCATTTTGCATGTTTTGTCATTACCAATTGGCCCTTGGTCCCTGGAAGTCCAGTTGATCCTTGAGGTCCAGGTGGGCCAGGCTGTCCAATCAGTCCAACAGGGCCTTGCACACCTGGGATGCCCTATAATGAACAGATTAAGACGTTTCTTCAAAACCATAACCCAAAGAATGAGCAGCAATAGCAATGTTAAATTTGAAATTCTGAATTTTAATAAACACAGAATTTGATGAGTAATTAATGTGCAATAAACAGTATGTTAAATTGCATTCTTTGATGAGTGTTTTAAGAACTTACTGATGGTCCTTTAACTCCAGGAGTGCCATCTGTTCCTGATGGTCCCTAAAAATGGCATCAATATTATGGAGACCATTCAATACACAAATCATTCAAATGTAGCCCTTTTCTAAATAACAGGACAGGTGAGACTGCACCTGGTTGCCCTGCGATCCAGGTGAACCTTGCCGGCCTGATTCTCCTCTTGGGCCTTGGGGTCCACTGGTACCTCGTGGGCCTGTGGCTCCTGCTTCACCCTGCGCAATTTTTAAAAAGAGTGTGCTTGATTCCTCACTTTTTGTTCTTTTTTTTGTGTTGCCATAACTCCTTTATAAATACAAACTATAATAATGTATCAAAAAGTTAAAGGTGCGACAATTTGCAGAACATGGTTCATACAGTAACCATGAATCAGACGTACCTTCATGCCTGGGCCACCAGGAAATCCTGGGGTTCCAGTGATTCCCATCGGGCCCTGTAAATGATATACTGTAAGTGTCAGGGTAGATAACATATCAGTCTTTATTAATAGAACATACTCCACATCTTTGAATATAATGTCAGATATGCACTACCCTTCAAATGTTTGGGTTAAGTAAGATTTTTTTTTTCTTTCAAATTAACACTTTATTCAGCCAGGATGCATTAAATTGATCAAAAGTGATATTAAAGACTTTTATAATGTTACAAAAGATTTCTGTTTTCAATAAATGCTGTTCCTTTGAACTTCCTATTCATCAAAGAATCCTGAAAAACATTCATTATGGTTTCAACAAAAATACTAAGCACTAATGTTTTCAACATTGATTCAAATAAGAGATCAGTCTTTTAGAGTGACTTCTAAAGGATGATTTGACATTGAAGAGTGGAATAATGGATGCTGAAAATTCAGTTTTGATATTACAGGAATAAAATACATTTAAATATATATATATATATATATATATATATATATATTATTTCACAATATTACTGTTTTTACTGCATTTTTGATCAAATAAATGCAGCATTGGTGAGCATTAGAGACATTTTTCAGAAGCATTAATAAAATCGAATTATCACCAGACCTTTGAACATTAGTGTATGTATTTCAAGGTATTTCGTCAGAAGTGAATGTGTAGAATGTGTGATCTGGGTAGACAAATGAGAACTGGTGGAGGGGTTACTCTTATTCACATACCAATGGACCTGGTTTTCCCACGTTTCCTGAAAGACCACGCTTTCCCTACAAACAGAAAACATTTTGATTTACTGATGAAATATTTAATACCATCAAAGCAAAATTTGTCAAAGTAATCACTTACCACAGGCCCTGTTGGACCGATGCGTCCTCTCTCACCAGGCATGCCAGTCGGGCCCTTTAAAGTACAGTATAAGCATCCAAAAAGTGTAGTTTTGTAAAATCCAATAAAGATCAGTGTAAATGAAACATTGCAATCAGAATTGCAAACACAAAGTGCTCCGTACCTGTGGACCCACAAGTCCCATGCCACCAGGAGTTCCTGATTCTCCCTTTGATCATGAAAAGAAAGTGGCATTTACTAAGACAATCAAACCACAGGGACACAAGAAAACCATTTACATGAATTTGGTGGCTTCAAATATGTGGCCTCTGACCTTTGACCCCACTGCACCTAGTTCTCCTTTTGCACCCTGCAGACCTGGATGACCCTAAAATGGGGAAGGGATTCATCAGAAACTGTGCTCAGAGCAAACTTAATACATGATTATGTACTTGGTTTGTACATTTTATAATGATAGACACTAAAAAATATTAAGAAGTAATTAGAGATCAGTGCAAAAGGAGAATGGCAAACTAATCAGTGTTTTGAGAATGAAGTTTTAACCTAACCCACCATTTGACCTTTCATCCCAGGTTGACCTGGTGATCCTGGAAATCCTCTGGAGCCCTATGAAACAAATCATCATTGGTAAGGATGCACTAAGCATTTAATGTGCAGGAATTATGGAAGTTATGAGCTAATTATAGCTTTTGATCCCTGTCACCACACACATCTCCTTATATCAACAGCATTCATCTGATGTTTTCATTTGTGATAAGGATAGAGCTGCACAGTAGTTCAGTCTGCGGGCCACTAGTGAGCACCATGGAGTCTTGTAGTTTGTGTTAAGGACCTTTAGCTCCCTCAATTTAATCAATGTTTACATCTGTGTTTAATTTTAAGTTTAAGTTTTCCTCTCTACTCACTTGTTCTTTCTTGTGTACAGCTTGAGTCATCTTGTAATTATTATAAATGAGTTGTACTCTTATTAATGCCTTTGATTTGTATTCGAGTCTGTTTGACATTGTGGTCTGGAACTCCTCAACATCGCTTGACAGCCTATACATCAGTTTATCAGCAGTAAGAGCATATTTTAGGCCATTTAGATCAGGAATCATCATTCTATAGCATTCCCAACATTTGTGGAATTTTACAGTGACAGAAGATTACGTCGCCAGAAGATTGTGGAAATAATTATTGTCAAATATTACATTGTTCATAACTTAAACCAAGATGTCAGGGTTTGGTTGGTTAACATAGTTAATTCAGCCCATCCTGTTTAATGCCGGATCGACAACATTCTGGTGGCAAAAAGGATTTTATTTTTTATTTTTTGGCTATTCAAAGCACAAGTACAATATTTATTATGAACCCTCCTATTATGGTTTGAACCGGTGGAGTACATCTTAAAAATCTCTGCACATATTTAGAAGGAACAAAATTGTGTGTGTTTTTTTTTACTTCTTTGAACTTAAATCACTGGAAACAACAGTGAGATGCATTAGAATAAAATTTTTGATAATATCATCCAGCCCTAAAACAGGACTGAAAACAGCAGCACTGTCTTACTAGAGAGCCAGGGAATCCTTTTTCTCCGGTATTTCCAGGGGGTCCAGGCTCACCCTGTTGAAGAGAGGAATAGGCTTGTGTTATCAAAAGCAGAGGGAAACTTAACTCGTTAGCACTGTAAAATGTGACTTGACTCCATATTGAATGTACTGCTTCACTATGATGATGGTTAAATAATGAAATCACTGGGCAAATTGTTGGTCAACTCACATCTTGGCCAGGTTTTCCAGGAGGACCATCTGGTCCCCTTGGACCAAAAGAGCCCTACAAAGGGAAAAAAACTTTATTGCATTGTACAGTAAGTTAATTTTTTTAACTGCACAGCATGGACAGTTTCTCTAATTAATATTAGAAACCTACAGGCACAGTTAAAATATTTACCTGTATTTTTCAGACTATATATCATACATTCTACACATTAGAAATGTCTCTACATTTTTAGTCTTACCATAGATCCAGGATCACCCGCATCTCCTGGCGCACCTTGTGCTCCTGTTGGCCCCTGAGTGACACAGTGAAAAAGAATGGAAATTTGGAAAACCATGCCAGGTTAAGAAAAAAAGTTTAAAGACATTTCATATACACAACACCAATCTTGAGAGAACTTACTGGTGGACCTGATGGGCCTGGATGACCTCTTGGTCCTGTTTCACCCTGATCAGAGCAAATACATTTTATCTCTGTTTAGTGGGTCTATATGACTATCCAGCTAAATATTCATTTCTGAATGTGGAAAGATCGTTACCGGTGCTCCAGAGACCATCGCCGACATTCCAAGCTTCCCATCCTGGAATCCAGAGGCCATTTGAGAAGCAAACTGACTCTGTAAAAATATTAAATATATATTTAATATTAAATTAAAAAGTACAGTCATGACACACTGTGCTGTTACTATAAACGTATAGATAGATATATGTTAAAATGAGGTGGAAAGATAAAACATATTCAGGCAAGTTTTTGAAAAACACTACAGGTTTAAAGCTGGATTGTACGGGTTTGCTTGTGTTTGGTATTGTCATTCAAGATGGTGATTTAAAGCTACACTAGCATTTCTGCATTTCCATTTTTGTTGTTTGTTGAACAAAATTAGGGATTATGTTTTTTACACCTATAGACTTTTTTTTTTAACTTTTTACCACTTTATCCTGATTAGTAATAACATTCATCAGATCAGAGGAACATATTTTACCGTTCAAATCCCTGATTAGGAATGTAATAAATACAGGACAACAAAACCTGGATAAATAATATTACTCACCCCAGACAGTGAATTGCCTACAGGACCAGGCTCACCTGGCATGCCTGGGACACCTGGTTCTCCATCAAACCCAGGTGGACCTGAGACACCCTTCACAAAAAATATTGTATTGTCACAATTTAACTACATTTACTACATTACGAGTCTGCATTCACTCAAAGTAACATTGAGAGAAAGCCACTATTTGTACATAACTTTAATGTGTTTCTGGGGAGAAATAACCACATCAAAGAATATCAATTACTATAGAGGCTACTGGTTGATGCCACATACTCGTCTTCCTTTGCTTCCTGGATATCCTGGTCGGCCATCTGCTCCAGGGGGACCCTATTTGATATGACACACAATATAATGGACTTCACTTTGATTGACAATTCAAAGAATAGGGATTTCTGGGAGGTATATGTGTGTGTGCGCATTATTTTTTTCACCATTGGTCCTGGGTGTCCAGGGATTCCCACAATCTAAAAAAGGAATAAAATATATAAATTAAAACTAATAAAATAGTATACATCTGTATAACATGATATATAACAAGTTATAACATGATTACCACTAATGACATATTCTCACATGTGGCACAAAATATTGCAAATACGATGAACAGAAGCATAATCTTATAGACTCACGTAAGGAATGTCACCAGGTTCACCTTTTTGGCCCTGAAAAAAAAAACATGCAGGACTAATCAAAACTTCTTTAATATTAATTTGTGATGCAAATCATTAAAAACGTTAACCTGTATGCCTAACGTTTAAAAGCATTCACATACCTTAAACGCAATTGTTTCTGAAAAAGAAACACAAAATAGAATTGAAATGAATTCAGGCTAAATTGTTATAAATATGTCAAATAATAAATAAGCTAGCACTCCTACTCATCTAAATGAATTCCCTTTCTGAATGTAATTGACGTCTGCCCTCTAGCGGCTGTAGCGTGTATGTCACTCTCACCGATCCTTCCACGCGCGCTGGCGAAGGTTTGGCAGACAGGGCAGCACTCTCCCTCCGGGATCATGAGCTCTTCGCAGCCCTTCAGATCCTCACAGCGGATCTCCTCACAGATCACCTGGCCTTTATCACATACACACAGTCTGCACGGCTCTGGCTTCCAAATCTCATTTTCTGAATAATTCTGATCACCATCTTTACAGTTTTTCGTCTCCTCTGTTCAAAGACGAAAATGAAAACAAACATGAATGTATACACTAAGTAACAGTCATTTCTAGCCTATCATACACAAATATTACATTCACATTAGCCCCATTATCACATAAAACATTACAAAAATAAGGCAAATCGGTTATTTGCTGTTTTATGGGGGACAACGGTTTTGTTTACAGTTAGCTTTTTTATGAGGTGAGATTGTTTTTATTTTTTACGAAGTTAATTACAGTTAAAAACAGAAAAGCACTGTGAACTCTACTGTACAAATTGAATCCGCCAGCAGAGGACACTCTAGCGTTAGAAATTCGTTTGTCCCCAGTACACGAGCTGGTGCTCATGTTTATATTTTCATTCTAAAATACCACTCTAGTCTTCATATTTACTGCCAAGATATTGCTTCATATATCTTAATGTGTGCTGCTTACAGCTAACAGTCCTTACAAAAACTTACCGAACTTAATTCCCTCACATAAATTGAATTTTATGTGTACACTCTAAAAAATGCTGGGTTAAATACAATCCAGTGCTGGGTAAAATAGGGACAAACCCAGCAATTGGGTTGTTTTGACCCAGCGGTTGGGTTACTACCCAGAAGGTTGGGTTAAACATTTAACCCAGCCACTGGGTCAAAACAGCCCAATTGCTGGGTTTGTCCCTATTTTACCCAGCACTGGGTTGTATTTAACCCAGCATTTTTTAGAGTGTACTATTTTAACACATTACTTACATCAGTTTTAATTACTATGATTTATCAGCAGTAATTACCAAGAATGACAATGAAACTATTTTATCGTAATCTATTAGTTTAATCTAATCTAATATTTTCAAAGGATGTCCCTTCTCAGTTGCTAGATACAATATCCAAATATGGTAAAAAATTAAAGTCGCAGTGTTGCAAGAATGGACACCATATTGATGTAAAATATTGCAAAAGAGACAATAATTTCCTATGAAGTTATTACATAAAACATCAGAAGCAGACCGAAGTCGTTCAGAAGACATTTTAGTGTTGAGGGAGAGCTAGGAATGGATATCATTATTAATTTCTTCATTTATTTCACATTGCAGCAACAAATAGTGGCAGTTCAACCTATCAGTCTATGTCAACTTTGCATATAAAGTAACAAGCATCTGTACGCAAAGATGAAGGCCCGTAATAGAGCGCTGGTCCTACTGGCCTGATCCATAATCTGCGCTTGACCAAGACATGTACGTAACTATAATTATAAGTCAAAGTATAAAAATGAGAAGTAGAGCAAGGCCACCATTCATCCAGTTCGGCTTGCCCTCGTAGCTGGTGATCACATTATATGCCACACCCTGTAATTGAGGTCTGCAGCTGGAGGCCCTCAGCCATTTTTCACTCAGTCCATTGAGGATGCACCTCTTGTGTACCACATCAAGATGTAATTTGAAAGAAAACAAACTACCTTCTTGAACCTTTTTTAAGTCAAATTATGAAGCTGGCATGTCTATACCAGAGGTGCCCCAACTTTTGACTCCAAGGGCCAAACATTTAACTTGACAAAGGTAAATGTTGCATTATAGCTGAAATCAAATGTATTTATATTCTCTACACACAAAAATAATGTTACAAAAAATTGTATTTATGCTTCAATGGCATGTTTTCCCCCCTCACTATTGTAATATGGCAAAGCAGGCTAAATCAAAGGTCATCAGTGGCCAGCTTTGCCATGTGGGCCCTGGTTTTGGTATATGTGGTCTGTACAGTACATCTTTCTGTCTGCCCAACAAAGGTTTTATCTGTGCTTGAATCACTACAATTTTATATCTTATCCTGTCCTACTGTTTCTGTTTGATACAACATTGGCTATTTTTGCCCATTTTCCATATTTCATGTGCAAACAGGAGGTTACTGACAGTATCACAGCAGAAAGCCTATATGGAAATGTTGAACTTCCACTTAATACTTTAACATAATTATAGAGTAATACATTCAGTCATCAGTCAGAATACCGATCATCGCTTTGTGATGAACCTCTCATGTTGTCTGTGTTGTGTTTGTCTCTGGTTCTGAGCGACAGATCCAGGCTGTCATAACTCTTGATTAGAAGCTGTAGCATGACAGAGGTGGCAGACAGAGTAAATAGCAGTTCTGATGCTCAAAGTCTGTCGCATCTGAGACATCCTGAGATATCCTGAGGGCTGGCAAGTATTGCTTCCACTGCTGTAATTAAGCAATAATGTGTATGACTATCTGACTAAGCCTTTAATGCAGTTCTCCAGAAAAGGGACACAGTGGAATTGCAGACAGCTTTATGCAAGGTAAGAATTATTTTAGGAGACATTTGTTGCCCCTTCTTTCATCAAAGGCATTGGTGACAGCTGTAATTGTTTCAGTAGGCCCAAATTATGTCATAAAAACATTCCAAGCAATTAAGAAGACTGAGTGAAATTTCTCTTCACTTTTTCTTTTGAAAATTATAGACTTTGTAAGTTTTTGCCCATTTTCCATATTTCATGTGCAAACAGGAGGTTACTGACAGTATCACAGTAGAAAGCCTATATGGAAATGTTGAACTTCCACTTAATACTTTAACATAATTATAGAGTAATACAGTCAGTCATCAGTCAGAATACCGATCATCGTTTTGTGATGAATGTTGTCTGTGTTGTGTTTGTCTCTGGTTCTGAGCGACAGATCCAGGCTGTCATAACTCTTGATTAGAAGCTGTAGCATGACAGAGGTGGCAGACAGAGTAAATAGCAGTTCTGATGCTCAAAGTCTGTCGCATCTGAGACATCCTGAGACATCCTGAGGGCTGGCAAGTATTGCTTCCACTGCTGTAATTAAGCAATAATGTGTATGACTATCTGACTAAGCCTTTAATGCAGTTCTCCAGAAAAGGGACACAGTGGAATTGCAGACAGCTTTATGCAAGGTAAGAATTATTTTAGGAGACATTTGTTGCCCCTTCTTTCATCAAAGGCATTGGTGACAGCTGTAATTGTTTCAGTAGGCCCAAATTATGTCATAAAAACATTCCAAGCAATTAAGAAGACTGAGTGAAATTTCTCTTCACTTTTTCTTTTGAAAATTATAGACTTTGTAAGTCAAATTAACTGAATACTGTAATTGATAAATATTTTAAATATAAGCTTAAAAATAAAAAAGTAGTAATGATATAAGGACATGAGAATTCAACCACTAATACAGCAACTGCTGAATGCTGAAACTTACCACTTTGAAGTAGTTTTCCCCAAATTTAATTTGCAAATGGGCATTAAAATATAATGGCTAAATATTATGCTTGGTCTCAGAGGCGGACTTAACCATTAGGCAAAGGTAGGCGACCCCTTTGGGCCCCCAAAAGCCAAGGGCCCCCTAAAATGCTTTTTATATGCGAGATGCACGTTCAGTGCGGACGCACACGTGAACTTAAAAATTTCTAAAGTTTAAACAGTAAACTTCTGTTGTGTAGCATTTTGAATGTACAAAAATTAAAGGGTTTGTTTAATTTTCATTAGAATAAAAGATAAATTAATGTTTTTAAATGTTTTTTTTTTCTAAAAAAATAAGTAAATAAAATTAAAATTTCATAGGGCCTAATTTATAAATTAAGTAGTTTTTATGAATTCAATTAATTAGATATGTTTTTGATTAAACCATTAAAATGGAATAGGCTACAGAAATATTTAAAATGGAAAGCGCAGAATTTGGGCCATAAGAATGTCATTTTTGTTAAACTTTTAATAGGCCTAAATTGCTGTTAAATTAAACAAGTTTCATGATTTTAATTAATTAGACATGTTTTTTGTTACAATTTTATATAATCATCCAGAAAAATTTAAACGAAAAAAAAAAACAGAATCCAGAAAAATTAAAACTGAAAAAAAGATTTTGGAAAAATAAAACGGATTTCATAGGGCCCTACAAATATCATGCATCTGAAGCTATAATTTCAATACTAAGCAACAGTGCATATTATATAGGGCCTATTTTAATTATTTTAAATGGCGCTCACTCGTTTTTGTGAAAGACCCAAGAAGGGTTACTTTCCACACAGGCAAACTTCATGTTTGGTTGAAATAATCCTTAAGCATGTCAATTTATAATTTCCTTCAGTTTAATTGTCCTACTGTTTCTGTTTGATACAACATTGGCTATTTTTGCCCATTTTCCATATTTCATGTGCAAACAGGAGGTTACTGACAGTATCACAGCAGAAAGCCTATATGGAAATGTTGAACTTCCACTTAATACTTTAACATAATTATAGAGTAATACAGTCAGTCATCAGTCAGAATACCGATCATCGTTTTGTGATGAATGTTGTCTGTGTTGTGTTTGTCTCTGGTTCTGAGCGACAGATCCAGGCTGTCATAACTCTTGATTAGAAGCTGTAGCATGACAGAGGTGGCAGACAGAGTAAATAGCAGTTCTGATGCTCAAAGTCTGTCGCATCTGAGACATCCTGAGACATCCTGAGGGCTGGCAAGTATTGCTTCCACTGCTGTAATTAAGCAATAATGTGTATGACTATCTGACTAAGCCTTTAATGCAGTTCTCCAGAAAAGGGACACAGTGGAATTGCAGACAGCTTTATGCAAGGTAAGAATTATTTTAGGAGACATTTGTTGCCCCTTCTTTCATCAAAGGCATTGGTGACAGCTGTAATTGTTTCAGTAGGCCCAAATTATGTCATAAAAACATTCCAAGCAATTAAGAAGACTGAGTGAAATTTCTCTTCACTTTTTCTTTTGAAAATTATAGACTTTGTAAGTAAAATGAACTGAATATACTGTAATTGATAAATATTTTAAATATAAGCTTAAAAATAAAAAAAGTAGTAATGATATAAGGACATGAGAATTCAACCACTAATACAGCAACTGCTGAATGCTGAAACTTATCACTTTGAAATAGTTTTCCCCAAATGTAATTTGCAAATGGGCATTCAGTCCACTCAGTCTGCTTAATGCCTGTCTAAGCTTCACTATTTCATAGCTACAGAAATATTTAAAATGGAAAGCGCAGAATTTGGGCCATAAGAATGTCATTTTTGTTAAACTTTTAATAGGCCTAAATTGCTGTTAAATTAAACAAGTTTCATGATTTTAATTAATTAGACATGTTTTTTGTTACAATTTTATATAATCATCCAGAAAAATTTAAACGAAAAAAAAAAACAGAATCCAGAAAAATTAAAACTGAAAAAAAGATTTTGGAAAAATAAAACGGATTTCATAGGGCCCTACAAATATCATGCATCTGAAGCTATAATTTCAATACTAAGCAACAGTGCATATTATATAGGGCCTATTTTAATTATTTTAAATGGCGCTCACTCGTTTTTGTGAAAGACCCAAGAAGGGTTACTTTCCACACAGGCAAACTTCATGTTTGGTTGAAATAATCCTTAAGCATGTCAATTTATAATTTCCTTCAGTTTAATTTAAATGTGCAATTAAAATAAATAAAAAATAAATGTATATTTTAAAGTTTAGAATTAGACAGCCTTGCCTTGTGTAGACAATTGCATAGTGAAAATTACCCCAACGCACCACCTAGGGTCCAACCTACTCTAACACTATTATAACCTGTTTAAATGTGAACAAGGGATTTAGGCCTACAACATAAAAGATATTCTTTATTTATAACATGTACATGAAAAATTTAAAAGATTAGACACAACTATGGGACACAGTCGTGCAGCAGCGAGCAACAGTGAAAGGAACCTCAAGGTTATAAATGTGTGAAATTGTATAGAAATTGTATATATTTATTTTGCCTGGGGCCCCCAAATCACTAAATCCGCCCCTGCTTGGTCTCATGAGCATGATGGAATTTCCGGTCCACTCAGTCTGCTTAATGCCTGTCTAAGCTTCACTATTTCATAGCAATGTCTAAAGTCATCATCTTAAATGAAAGCCTAAAATAATATTAAAAGTGGCACTGAAGCAGTAAAACTACTAGCAGCAGGACACCTGCTACTATTCATCTGTATGAAACTGGCCTTTTTTAAAGCACTATTCTGAAAAGAAAGTAAGTACCAATTTAGTGGAAAAGCACATACGTTATTTTGGGGAAACCACAGCAGCCTCTATTATAGGTTATGCTTAACTTTAGTCTGTGGCTAACTTTTATTTCTGTCAAAGTGAAAAGGCACGCCCTCTGTCTGAAGTTTTTAACAAAAATATCCTCTTTGGAATGTACATTTCTTTACTATATTTTCCTGTATAGAATGGACTTTGTATTTGTCATATTGGAGCAAACAATTTTCTCTGCAAGTGACCCTGTATTTCAGACCCTGTGATTGACATTGCACCCTCCCTCTCATAAAACATTACAAGCTGGCTCTCGTAAGGGTCATGACGTGTCCCCATGTGGGATAATTAATGTGAGAAGGTCACACACGTTGTTGTATGTACAACAGACCAGCCTGATGTACAGTAGGGGAAGTTCACCTAAAAATGAAAATTCTGTCACTCATTTACTCGATCTCAAGTTGTTACAAACCTGTATGAGTTTCTTTCTTCTGATGAACACAAAAGTAGATATTTTGAAGAATGTTGGTAACCAAAAAGTTGACGGTAGCTATTGACTTCTGTAGTGTGTTTTAATTTTTTTTCCATATGGAAGTCAATGTGCAACTGTTTGGTTAGCAACATTCGTCAAAATATCTTCAACAGAAGAAAGAAACTCAAAGAAGTTGAGGGTGAGTAAATGATGACAGAATTTTATTTTTTGGTATCCCTTTAGACTATGATTAGAGTGTGATCGCATCAATTCACTATGCAAAGGTTTTGAATTCAATGTCAATTCTGACTCTGAATCGATTCCTGCTGAGCTACCCAACAATGCTTCACCTGATCTGTAGTGTGACTAACCTAAGTGAATGTGAAAACATCACAGCTGGATTTCAGGCAAACGCATTTGCCACATGATTGGGTGTGTCTAGCATCTCTTTTGGGAAGAACTTTGACCACAATTGGTGGCCTGCTTTGGTCTGTGAAAACCTCACATCATTACTCGCAAGACCATGAAATTATGTCTTCAACTCAGATAGAGCTGACAAAGCAGAAGATCGGGATAATTCAGCTTGCCAGTTTACTATTAAATTAGAAATTCAAATTGTGCTAGTTAGTAGGGAAGGATGCTGTAAGAGTAAAGCCTGTTATGAAGGTCTTTCCTTACAACAGCATTAACTTGCTTTGAAAATATGGCTATTCCACCACCTACATAACATAAATGGGACTAAAACAACATATTTTCTGTGGTGTGTTGCCAACATCCATTACTATTGATCACATTTAATAGGATGAATAAGGTTGTAGTTTAACCAAAAATGAAAATTCTGTCATCATTTACTCACACTAATGTTGTTCCATACCTGTATGACTTTCTTTCTTCTGTGGAACACTAAATGAGGGCTTTCCAAAAATAAAAAAGTGCATGGACACTGAGTCATACGGGTTTAAAACAACATGAGGTGAGTAAATGAGGACAGAGTTTCAATTTTGGGCGTTGAGTTAGTACATCCTAAACTAGTACACTGAATAAAAACCTTAGTGTAGGATTTAGTTTAAAACCATTTTCACTCAGGTATTGTTAGTAAATTTCACAAATAATTACGGCACATTTAATTAAATGTAAAATTTTAAAGTAGAAAGACTGAAATAGTATTTTCTTATAAAGCATACTAATAAAGAAAGATTCCTTCACATATTAAGGAATAGTTATGAATCAATCTGTAATTGTATGGTGTAACCTGCTTATATGGAGAAACTCAAAATAAGGTGAGGGAGAAAAAGCAAATCAGGACAAATTATCATAAGTGACTCAAAATACCCATATTTCATGCATAATTTACATAATTATACCAGATTTGTACAAAAAAAACAAAAACATAGCAGTTAGATTTTTTTTCTTTCATTTTTTTAAACCGAACAAACCACTTTAAACAGTCCAGACAAAGCAGTCTAAATGTAAATCAAACATTTAGCATATTTAATTATCTTCATAATAATCTATAAATAATTTCCACAGACACCCAAGTTGAATGTCTAAGTGCAATGAAAAAAACAACATGACGTGGTCTCGTTTTCCCAGATATTAAAGTGAAAGAAGGTCAGAAAGGCCATTGTATGAATAGCCAGAGTACGATTATTCAGGGGTAAACAAGGTAAATGTAACTTATTTGACCTCTTTCAAGCACTTCTTACATATTTACATCAAATACTACAGCTGCGCATACTGATATACAGAGTATCGCTCTTCACCTGTTGTGTCAGGTTAGTGAAGTATGAGACAGGTTACTCACCGGTCTTAACATCCTGGCATGTGATCAATAACACCTGGGCCAAACAGATCCCCAGCCATACAGGTATCCTGAGGTGATGAGCTGCGGTCATTTTCACAACAAGGAGGCACAGACCTTGCCCGTGCCTGCCACAGGAGGTAGACTATGAAAAAAATCACAGCTTCAACATACACTCCACAAGATGCCAACTCTACCCGACAGTGCAGCTTCCAGCTTCTGCGCAGACGCTCCTGTATGAAACTCCAGGCAGCCTGTGCACCCCCGCCCTGTGGTTCTGCAGCCTCTCATCTAGCTGGAGCAAAAATAACTCTAGTCTCTAGTCTGCTCTAAGATGATGCACACGTATGAAGAACATGAAGCAGAATGCATCATGTATCATACTTGAAAGCCCACCAGCATCACTCACCAGACACCAAATGGCTTTAATTATAGAATAACCACACTGTAAAGTCGTGAATAAAACAACGATTATTGTAGTAGGTTTTACAAAAGTACTATTTCAGTCTTTCTACTTCAAAATTTCACATTTAATTCAATGTATTACTTGCCATTTCTTCGTTGTGAACTTCATAAGCAATTTCTCTGTGAAAATGGTTTCCAAGTAAAACACAAAAAAGTTCATTTAAGATTAAAATATACATTTATTAGCTCTGTATGTGCCTGCAGTTGACACTTAGATTGCACCTGAATGCATAAAGCGATAAAGCATGACCATTTGATAAGCTAGTAAGCATGAATTAGTCAACACTCTCATTAATATTCATGAGTTAAAACTCATTAACATGAGATATTCCTATCAGTCTTTCACACTGTAATGCAATGAGCTGATGAAGGTCAGGAACAAAGAACTATTAATATTTATATGTAATTTAATATGCAATTTACATGTAATTTAAATGTCACATAACAATAAGGTTTTAGTGTAACTGTTTATAATTTTTCATACACTAATATTTGAAAGTTTGGGGTCCAAAAGTTTGGGCTTTTTTGAAAGAAATTAATGCTTTTTTTCAGCAAAGACATTTAATTGATCAAAAGTGTCAATAATGTTATATTACAAAAGATTTCCATTGCAAATAAATGCTGTTTTTTAACATTCTATTCAAAGAATTCAAAGGAGATTCAAGATTTATGATCACCAAATCAGCATATTAGAATGATTTCTGAAGGATCATGTGACACTGAAAAGTAATGACTGATAAAAAATTCTGCTTTGCCATCACAGGAATATAATGCATTTTAAATTGTAATAACATTTCAATGTTTCGTCTGTATTTTTTAAAATCAAATACATGCAGCCTTTGTGGGCATAAGATAATTTTTTCAAAAACATTAAAAATGTTATACCGACCCCAAACTTTCAACTGTAATGTACATTAGCCCCTTATTATCTATCATTTTATGAACAAAACGTTTGTGTTCCAAAGAAGAAAGAAATTCATAGTTTGGAACAACATGAGTAAATGATGACAACATTTTTGTGTGAGCTATCTTTTTAAAAACAGAATTATAGGCTATGTACCTCTAAAGAAACTTTGGTGGGTGAGGGTTCAGTTTGAAACCAGTACAGGATAGGCCATTCATACTCAGCCAGCCTAATTGCACAAATCTTTCTGCATCTGAGAAGGCAAATTACTTCAAGACAAATATAGGTTGCTAGACTGTTTCCCTTTTATTCATGTCATTACAGTTGTTTGTACAGTTCAAAATGAAGAAGTTTATTCCCATTGCAAACATTCTCCCACCTTATCGTCATAATTGCCTCACTAACACGGTGACCTCAGGATGTTCTTGGCCGCAATCACAATGTATTACTACAGACCGTGTTCTAGAAACTATAAACAACTCTTTACAAAAGCTCTTTTTCTCCATTAATGTTTTACCAGTGTGCCTTCAACAGTAACGGACCTCAGTTCTCTCCACCCATCAGTGGACATAAAGAGGAGCCACATGAGGTCACGAATGAATGAGTCATTCCGTAAATACATTTTAGCCAAAAGAACCTTGTACGCTGCAGAATAAACATATTCTAGCAAACTGCTTTATGCAGACATACAGGCTCACTTCCACCACAGTATAAAGTTTCCACATGCTTTGTTAGTGTACACTCTTAAAAATAAAGGTGCTTCACGATGCCATAGAAGAACCTTTTTGTCTAAATGGTTCAATAAAGAACCTTTTAACATCTGAAGAACCTTTCTGTTTGACAAAAGGTTCTTTGGGGCGAAAGAAGGTTCTTCAGATTATAAAAAGATAAGAAAGAGATGGTTTTTTAAAGAGCCTTTGACTGAATGGTTCTTTGTGGAACCAAAAATGGTTCTTCTATGGCATCGCTTGAAGAACCTTTTGAAGCACCTTTATTTTTAAGAGTGTATAAGGGATCCTGGTTTGGTTATAAGGTGAGAAACATCTTTTAGTCATTTTAAACCACAGTTTATTTAACATTTTATGTGAATCTCTTCAACACCAGACATTATACATCTTCACGGATTGTAGATTTTCTGGTTCATCTTAAATATAACAGACCTTAAAATAGTTTAAACTCAAAGCAGAAGTTGTTATTCTTCAGATGCTATTCTGGTAAAACATGATTTATCTCTTGCATATGTTGTTTCTTTTCTACTTTGAATAATTTATTATTTCTCTGGCTGAAGTTGATCTGGGCTGCATTTCCCAAAAGCATTGTAAGCCTAAGTAGATCATAGAATTATTGCCACCAATGGTCTCTCAACTTAGCTTATGATGCTTTTGAGAAACGCAGCACTGGTCAATATATAACAAGAAATAACTAAAACCAAAACAAAACTTTAAAAAAATTAAAATACTAAACACAAAGAAACTAAACTAAAATGGTAACACTTTATAGAAAGGTCCCATTAGTTAACATTAACCTAATCTTTTCAACATTAGTTCATGAAAATACAACTGTTCGTTGTTAGTTCATTTTAGCTTAGGTCCATTAAATAATATTAACAGATACAACTATGGATTTTAATAATGCATTTGTAAATATTTTAATTAACATGAACTACGATTTTTTTTTAAATGCTAATTTTTAACTACTGTTAACAAATGGGACCTTATTTTAAAGTGTTACCAATAAAATAAACTGTTGGTCATATAATACCACAAATATGGCTCATGTAAACTGGTTTGACCTTATCATGCTATACAAAAAGGTTATCAGATCTGCAATGCTGTATACATTAAAAACCTCAGGTACTTACAGGTAAAAACTAGGTAATTACAGAACAATCAAGCTAATTATATTCTGTTTACAAAATAAAATGAAACAATACTGAACAAGCATTAACAAGATAATTATACTCACTTTAAACTTAACTACAATGTATGTTCTAATTTAGAGGGAGTTACTTATAACAGATGTGATGGTGTCAGGCCTATTATTTGAACTCGGTAAGACACTACACATATGGCAGAGAACACCCTGATCAGCTTACAGCCACTTTATTATTGATGATCTGGTTGGACAAACCCAAGCAGCACCTCTGCTTCTCATTTAGCCTCGAACAGGTATGTTGCCACAGCCAGAACCAACTCAAATCCAAACTAATCTGAATGAACATACACAGTAACGATATGCTCAAGCTTCGGTGAACTACAGTCATGTTTGCGGCTGCAACTAAAAACTTTGTGAAGCAGGTGGGGAACACTGGACGCCTAGTCCCTGTGCCCAGTCTAAGTGAAGCGGACCGATATCAACCCCTAAGTCTGGTGACGAGGAAAAGGAGACGACATTTCTGGAAGAAGACCAAATATGCCACAACCCCTTTCTCGCTGAAAGACATACTCGTGGGAGATAAAGAGATCACAGCAGGTGAGTTAGAAATATTTAATAATTTTTATATAAAATAGCTAGATGAGTATAGATGAACAAGTCATGTAAACATTCAATCAAACATCCATGTAGAATTTTATGTGTCATTTGACTTACAAAATGCATAAAACACTTAATTTTATGTATACAGTAGTTTTTGTTATGAATGAAGGTGTTTTTTGCATGATGTGCATGCTGCAAGTGTGTCACCTTCACTATTTTTGACAGGGGTCTCCTCATATCAGCTCCTGAACTATGAGGACAAGTCTGATGTTGCCCTTAATGGGCGTTTGGGCAACCATCTGATCCATGAGGTGGGAGTAAACGTGAGTGGTTCAGATTCTGTGGCAGTAAAGGCCTCATTTGGAATTGTGACCAAGCATGAGGTGGAGGTTCCAACATTACTGAGAGAACTCAATGCAAGGTAAAAAACAAAAAAACACTGTGTGCATATTTTTATATATACAACAGTTAGTTCCAGCCCTCAAAATTGTCCGAGAGCTGGTATCTGGACCAGCAGCAATAGGAATGTTCACTGTTTATATCACTCCACTTTTGCACAGACAGGTTACATTGTTAGGCCAATAGGTGGCGACAAGTGACTTTATTTATAAAAGAGCTAGACTTTATAAAAGAAAAGACTTCTTTTCTGGTGCTTTGCCTTTATTATGATACCACAGTGGAGAACTGACAGGAAGAGAAGTGGGAGGGAGAAAGAGAGGGGGGTGGGATCAGGAGATGTCCTCGAGCCAAGATTCGAACTCGGGACGATTGAAACGCAACAGCGTTATATGTCAGTTTATTTGCCCACTAGGCTATCGCCACCATCCCTTCATAAATCTTTTGCATTCTCTCTCCAAAGTATTGCATTCCACCAAGAAACTTTGCATTCGCTCACAAAAATGTTGGGTTTGCTCACAAAATTTTGCATTCCCCTTGACTATCAAGAAACTTTGCATTCGCTCACAAAAATTTGGGGTTCACTTGTAAAACGTTCATGTTTCCTTGATTCCCAAGTAAATTTTTTTTCTTTTTTTCCCCAAACAAAATTGTGTTCTCCCAAGTAGGCCTAATTTTGCCTTCTCTCACAAAACATTTGAGTTCACTCTCACAAAACCTTTGCGTTCCCACAACTCCCAAGAAACTCTACATTAGCTTTTGTGTTTCCCTGAGCAAATAAATTTGCAAAAGAACTGAAATACAGTTTTTCCTCTCATAATATGACTTCCATTAACATGTTCTTTATGGGCTCTCAATCTTGACAAAATAACAGGCAAAATTGTGTCTCAAATGTAAGTTACTTTGGCTTCGAAATATTGGTTGAGGCTGTGATACCTGCAGCCATGCAAATATTCAGAACAGCAGCACTCTTGAGTACTTGATGAAAAGAATCACTGAATTCTCACATTCTTTTTCTCACAAATCTTTTTGTCTATTCTCCTCTCACTTCTTTTTCTATCAGGAAAGTTGACCTGGATCACTGTTTGATCCGTCAGTCCAAAGAGAGTGGGCGGACTGTCCTGTGTGTTGTCATGGAGAGTATCCGCACCACGAGACAGTGTTCCCTCACTGTCCATGCTGGAGTGCGAGGAACTACCATGAGGGTAAACAAATGCAAGTGTGCCCCCCAAATAGTATATTTGTCGGTAAAGTCTGTTGTTCTCTGATACTCTGAATTTTCTCACACAGTTCCAGATAGATGATGGTCGAAACCCTAAAGGTCGAGATAAAGCCATTGTAATTCCAGCCCACACGACCATAGCATTCAGTGTGCTAGAACTTTATGTGCGTCTTGATGGACGTCTAGGTAAGCACTAAATGATTTCATAGTAGTGTTCTGTCTTGGGGTCAGTAAGATTTTTTTTTAAAGAAATGTATTTTTGTATTCAGCAAGGATGCATTAAATTGTGACAATAAAGACAAAAATGTTTCAAAAAAACTTTTGAACTTTGTATTCCTCAAAGAATCATAAAAAAACACTGTATCCACAAACATAAGCAGGACAATGGTTTTAAACACTTATAATGTTTCTTGAGCTCCAAATCAGCATATTAGTGATTTCTGAGGGATCATGTGACACTGAAGACTGCAGTAATGATTGCTGAAAATTCAGTTTTACCATCACAGAAATAAATTACATTTTGAAATATATTAAAACTGTTATTTTAAAATTATGAATAATAATAATTTCACTCAATTTTGCTGTATTTTTGATCAAATAAATGCAGCCTTGGTGAGCATAAGAGACTTTTTTTCAAAACATTACCCCAACCCCAAACTCTGAACAGTAGAAGGCTAGATATCTATATCTATAGTATTACATATGGAGTCCACTCATAGATCTGTTTAGATTTTTAAATGTTTATTGCTTTATCTAATGACCTTTGTCTGAACTTTGGTCAGACATATGTGTGGCTCCAGAGTCAGTAGGAGGGTTTGAGAGGGAACAGATCCGTGAGCAGCTAGGGGGATTCATTGGCCGCTTTTCCGTTGGAAGACTTAGGAGATTCATGTCGGGAATCATCTATGGAAATCCTTTCAGAGCAGGTGATACAACTTCTGTTGTCATATCTGTATCTGCAATATTTAAAATAATCTTGAAGAAATATTCCACATTTAACTTGATTTGTGCTTGCTGTAGATGACAGGACATTTGAAGAGCTCACTCACTCTGATATGTACATGGATGATGTTGTGACGGACTACTATGAGAAGGCTGCCAGCATGACGGACCTGTCCACGGCCTACCTGCGGGATGAAAAACACACACGTGTAAATTTGCTCAACCATAACATACCTAAAGGACCGTGTGCCTTGTGTGGAATGGGCCACCAGAGGCGTGAGACTGTCTACGGCTGCCTGGAATGTTCTTCAGGGGGAAACAAATATGTCCGTCTCCACGCTGTACCATGTTTTGACCTCTGGCATAAAACTATGAGGTGAGAAATGGCCTGGAGGAACTCCCAGGGTGATTATCATGCAAATGTTGTGCAACATGACCACAAGATGTAAAACCCTCAGCTTTAATTTTGGCGTAAACACATTTTATGAAAGCAAGAATGTTCTTTGCTCATTGTTGGAACTGACATTGTAAAACAGATGATTTCAACAAATTCTAAAACATCTGACCTCAATCTGATTATTAAGTAATTTGTTTAGTGATTGATATATAATGTTTCCTTGTTTTCTCAGCTTGTATGAGTGTACATTATTATACCCCTAGTATCATAGTTGTTAAATAATAATTATTATCTAGTACAGGCCTGTCCAAACTCGGTCCTGGAGGGCCGGTGTCCTGCAGAGTTTAGCTCCAACTTGCCTCAACACACCTGACTGGAAATGTATGCCTAGTAAGTGCTTGATTAGCTGCTTCAGGTGTGTTTAATTAGGGTTGGAGCTAAACTCTGCAGGACACCGGCCCTCCAGGACCGAGTTTGGACAGCCCTGATCTAGTATCTACTTTACTGGCCAAAAGTTTGGAATGATTAAGATTTTTTAAATGATTTTGAAAGTATCTTATGCTCACCAAGGCTTCATTTATTTGCTTAAAAATACAGTAGAAAAACAATATTGTGAAATATTACAGTACAATTTAAAATAATTATTTTTTATTTGAATATATCTAAAAATTTCATTTATTTCTGAGGTGACAAAGCTAAATTTCCAGCAGCCATTACTCCAGTCTTCAGTGTCGCATGATCCTTCAGAAAATCATTCTAATATGCTGATTTACAGCTCAAGAAACATTTCTGATTATTATCAATATAGGAAACAGTTGTGCTGCTTGATATTTTTGTGGAGACAAAGTGTAATACAGTTCATAAGTTTGAGTAAAGGAAGAAGAAGAAATTAATTTTTTAATTCAGCAAGGACACAAATAATCTAAAGTGCCATTTAATACATTTAAAATGTTAAAGATTTATATTTCAGAAAAAAATGCTGTTCATTTAACTTTCTATTATAATCCTGAAACAAGTATCACTATTTCCACAAAAAAATATTATGCAGCAAAAACAGTTTTCAGCATTTATAATTTTAAGAGCCATTATTAATAACCGAGCACCAAATCCACATAGAATGATTTCTGAAGGATCATGTGACACTGAAGACTGGAGTAATAGCTTTGCCATCACAGGAAGAAATTACTTTTAAAAAAATATATAAAAAGAGTTAACAGTTCATTTTAAATAGTAATACTATTTCACAATATTACTGTTTTTATTTTTGTTTTTGATCAAATAAATGCAGCCTTGGTGAACATAAGAGACTTCATTTAAAAACATTAATAAAAAAAAAAATCTTAATTATTCCCAAGTTCTGACTGGTATACACATTGTGACTAATAATTGAAAATTATTAAGAAGAAATTTACACATAATACAATATAATAATAATAATGCAAGCTAAAAAGACTTATCTCAGAAACAATACTTGGTGCTAATTGTGTATCGCTTTGTTTACATATTGTCCATTTATATCAGTTTTAAGATGGTGTTTCTTGCATATCCAGATACAAATGGACAAGATAACAGATCATTTAGGGCAAAAAGCTAGAGCAGATATTTATTTCATCACGTGTAGACCAGCTGCTACATTTCTGAACATACTGTGCTGTCTGAATAATTCAGGCCTATCAATAAATTAGCCTGTAGATCACGTGATCGCAGAACAGGAAGTGCTTCGCTGACAGTGTTGTCTCCCGTGAACAGGACACCATGGAACTGTTTACAGAGAGCGTGTGAACTGAAAGCCAGGATAGTGCAAGATTACATTTGTGTGCTTATTTGACATCTGTTGGCCCCAATATGTTCAGAATAGTGTGATTAATGGAAAAATATATCTTAATCTGTTGATCGTGTAGCATGGAATATCAAGAGCTTAAAAGACAAAAACTTGAATGTCAAGAACAAAAATTAAAGGATTCACCAATTCATGTGCTGATTGAATTATTTTCCATGTTTGTTTACCATGTTTACAATTAAAAACATAACATTTTAAAGTTTGGAATTTTACATGGTTTGAATTTTTACATAAAGTTTTAAATTTAATGTTTTTTTTTTGTGGAAAAAATACATATACATTATATATATATATATACACACACACAAAGTTTTGAGTTTGTTTTTCCAAGAACAGTTGGAAAACAGTTACTACTGGCAGCTAATATAAATAATTGTAATCAATCATAATAAATATACAGTGGGTACGGAAAGTATTCAGACCCCCTTAAATTTTTCACTCTTTGTTATATTGCAGCCATTTGCTAAAATCATTTAAGTTAATTTTTTTCCTCATTCATGTACACACAGCACCCCATATTGACAGAAAAACACAGAATTGTTGACATTTTTGCAGATTTATTAAAAAAGAAAAACTGAAATATCACATGGTCCTAAGTATTCAGACCCTTTGCTCAGTATTTAGTAGAAGCACCCTTTTGATCTAATACAGCCATGAGTCTTTTTGGGAAAGATGCAACAAGTTTTTCCCACCAGGATTTGGGGATCCTCTGCCATTCCTCCTTGCAGATGGGATTGGATGGTAAACGTTGGTGGACAGCCATTTTTAGGTCTCTCCAGAGATGCTCAATTGAGTTTAAGTCAGGGCTCTGGCTGGGCCATACAAGAACAGTCACAGAGTTGTTTGTTGTGAAGCCACTCCTTCGTTATTTTAGCTGTGTGCTTAGGGTCATTGTCTTGTTGGAAGGTAAACCTTTGGCCCAGTCTGAGGTCCTGAGCACTCTGGAGAAGGTTTTCGTCCAGGATATCCCTGTGCTTGGCCGCATTCATCTTTCCCTCGATTGCAACCAGTCGTCCTGTCCCTGCAGCTGAAAAACACCCCCACAGCATGATGCTGCCACCACCATGCTTCACTGTTGGGACTGTATTGGACAGGTGATGAGCAGTGCCTGGTTTTCTCCACACATATCGCTTAGAATTAAGGCCAAAAAGTTCTATCTTGGTCTCATCAGGCCAGAGAATCTTATTTCTCACCATCTCACAACTCCATGCGGGCTTTCATGTGTCTTGCACTGAGGAGAGGCTTCGGTCGGGCGACTCTGCCATAAAGCCCCGACTGGTGGAGGGCTGCAGTGATGGTTGACTTTCTACAACTTTCTCCCATCTCCCGACTGCATCTCTGGAGCTCAGCCACAGTGATCTTTGGGTTCTTCTTTACCTCTTTACCTCTGGCTCTTCTCCCCCGATAGCTCAGTTTGGCCGGACGGCCAGCTCTAGGAAGGGTTCTGGTCGTCCCAAACTCCCAAACGTTAAGGATTATGGAGGCCACTGTGCTCTAATGAACCTTAAGTGCTGCAGAATTTTTTTTGTAACCTTGGCCAGATCTGTACCTTGCCAAAATTCTGTCTCTGAACTCTTCAGGCAGTTACTTTGACCTCATGATTCTCATTTATCTGGTTTTGTTTATATTCAGTGGGTACGGAAAGTATTCAGACCCCTTAAATTTTTCACGATGCAACAAGTTTTTCACATCTGGATTTGGGGATCCTCTGCCATTCTTCCTTGCAGATCCTCTCCAGTTCTGTCAGGTTGGATGGTAAACGTTGGTGGACAGCCATTTTTAGGTCTCTCCAGAGATGCTCAATTGGGTTTAAGTGGCTGGGCCATTCAAGAACAGTCACAGAGTTGTTGTGAAGCCACTCCTTCGTTATTTTAGCTGTGTGCTTAGGGTCATTGTCTTGTTGGAAGGTAAACCTTTGGCCCAGTCTGAGGTCCTGAGCACTCTGGAGAAGGTTTTTGTCCAGGATATCCCTGTACTTGCATTCATCTTTCCCTTGATTGCAACCAGTCGTCCTGTCCCTGCAGCTGAAAAACACCCCCACAGCATGATGCTGCCACCACCATGCTTCACTGTTGGGACTGTATTGGACAGGTGATGAGCAGTGCCTGGTTTTCTCCACACATACCGCTTAGAATTAAGGCCAAAAAGTTCTCATCAGACCAGAGAATCTTATTTCTCACCCTCTTGGAGTCCTTCAGGTGTTTTTTCATGTGTCTTGCACTGAGGAGAGGCTTCCGTCGGGCCACTCTGCCATAACGCCCCGACTGGTGGAGGGCTGCAGTGATGGTTGACTTTCTACAACTTTCTCCCATCTCCTGACTGCATCTCTGGAGCTCAGCCACAGTGCTCTTTGGGTTCTTCTTTACCTCTCTCACCAAGGCTTTTCTCCCCTGATAGCTCAGTTTGGCCGGACGGCCAGCTCTAGGAAGGGTTCTGGTGGTCCCAAACGTCTTCCATTTAAGGAATGGAGGCCACTGTGCTCTTGGGAACCTTAAGTGCAGCAGAATTTTTTTTGTAACCTTGGCCAGATCTGTGCCTTGCCACAATTCTGTCTCTGAGCTCTTCGGGCAGTTCCTTTGACCTCATGATTCTCATTTGCTCTGACATGCACTGTGAGCTGTAAGGTCTTATATAGTCAGGTGTGTGGCTTTCCTAATCAAGTCCAATCAGTATAATCAAACACAGCTGGACTCAAATGAAGGTGTAGAACCATCTCAAGGATGATCAGAAGAAATGGACAGCACCTGAGTTAAATATATGAGTGTCACAGCAAAGGGTCTGAATACTTAGGACCATGTGATATTTCAGTTTTTCTTTTTTAATAAATCTGCAAAAATGTCAACAATTCTGTGTTTTTCTGTCAATATGGGGTGCTGTGTGTACATTAATGAGGAAAAAAATTAACAAATGATTTTAGCAAATGGCTGCAATATAACAAAGAGTGAAAAATTTAAGGGGGTCTGAATACTTTCCGTACCCACTGTATATAGCGTTTGGACCAATCAGAAGCACAATTATTCATTATAGTTAACAAATAATCCAACAGACCACCTCACCCAACAACCAGACGGGGTTGATGTCTGTGAATGACCCCCAGGCCCCTGGTTACCATGGCAACCATGACACCTCAGCCAGACCAGATAAACTTTACAACCCAATGGAGTTTGCCTTCTTACTTAATGCTCCCTCCTGAAAAAAAACATAATATAAAAACTAACTCCTTCCCTACTCATTTAAAGAAAACCTTCCAGGAATGAGCATGCCTGTTTTGTTTATGAGTATCACTTTCTTGAATATTGTCTTTGGTATTGTTTACTGTTTTATGCATGTGTCATGATATAATCACTAGCTAGTTAATATAACCTCACCTATACCATGTTTGGTATCTATGAATTCACCTTTTGATGATCTAAATGAGATTCTATATTATATGTTGATACCTATGCAACATATTAGTGTTCTAACAGTCTTTAAGAGTTCTTGC